GCAGCTCTCTAACTCCTATGCTCAAGTAATCCTCCTGCCTCAGCCTACCAAGTAGGTGGGATTACAAATGTGAGCCACCAGGCTTGAAAAAATATGAAAAGAAATAGTATATTGTAATGTGTGAAAATTATATTGAATTCAAATTTCATCATTTCATAAAGTTTTATTGCAACACAACCACGCTCATTTGTTTGTTTGTCTATGGCTGTTTTTATGCTGTGCAGCCAGAATTGAGTATTTTTGAGCACACTCATATTGGTACTCGCAGTCTGTTCTCACTAATGCTCAGTGCTCTAATTGTACTGACACAATTTTAATTTGACAACACTTCAAGTTGTCTACCACGACTTTGTATTTTTAGTGCATACCCATCATGTCAAAACAAGAAAAGAAAAGGGTAGATTTTTGGATTTTTAGATAGGAAAGCAGATATATTTTCTAAACACAAACTATAGTTCCAGCATAATTTTATTTTTCTTAAACCTTGATGCAAGTGCAAAGGAAATTTCTTTGTTTCATAATCCTTGTAAGATTAGTCTGAAAGTTGAGTTTCCACCTAAGTTGCCATTGGAACTAATTAATCTGCAGAACAGTGACATGATCAAAGGAAAGCATCAAGAAAAGAATATAAAGTAATTCTGTAAATGTCTTCCAAGCAATGAATATACTCCAGTTCATAGGTTTGTGGATATGGACATGGGTCATTATGAAAATTCTGATACACACACAAATCAAGAAACATAAAATCCACATGGATAGAAACAAATGAAGCCCTCCCAGCAACACTGATAAGCTGAGCCCGTTGAAAGTTGCACAGGTAGATCAGAAAGGATGCTGTCAGTTGTGTTACTTAAAAGTGAAATAATGGATCTTTACACAGTCTGTCTCAAAACTTTTGTAGTAATTTCATGTATCAGTATTGGTAGTATGTGTTTGTGCAAGAAGATGTTTTCATAGATGAGACATGTAAAATGTTATAGATCAGCATATATTTATATGTTAACTACAAACAATTGTAACTGGGGGCTTGGTAAGCAGAATGTTATCCTTCCAAAAAGAATTCCATTCTTCCTCTTACTAGACGTATAATGCAGAGTTATACTCAGTTATTATATTTTAGATTTTGTCAGTAAAAACTTTGTGGAAATTTATTTCTTTCTATAAAAGTACCTGCGTGATATCCTTGATTTTGCCTGTTGGTCCCAAAGCCTAAATATTCACTGCATGGCCCTTTACAGAAAAGTGCCAGCTGCTAATATAAGTAGTTAATCTGAATCATCCCTTAATCTGACTCTGGTTTACTCTTATTCCTGGGTTAGTATTCCTTAATTAGAATGCTTTCTAATTTGTTCTTAATCCAGTATTTCTGAAACTTGCGTAATCATAACAGTTACTAGGTGTAACTGTTAAAAACATAAATTCCATTCTGCTTCAACTGAGTGCTTTATTTTGTGATTAAGGAAATCTGGGAAGCAGTCTTATACTATAGGATTTACCTCTGAGACCTTAGCCTAGCAATACATTAACTCCCCTCTGTCAATTTGTTCTCAATTTTTTAATTGCTACTTTGTTCTCAGCCCTATTATTAGTCTGCTAATCTGTTAATCCCTCTTCTCCTGCCCCAGTCTCACAAGAGTAAAACATCTACCACCATCTGTTATTCATTTCTCAGCTAGACCTACCTGATAAGTTAAAAATATATATATATTTTTAGTCTACACTTTGTTTTACCTAAGTACAAGTTTTAAATCTAAGCTTAAATCAGAATCTTCTAATTTATTTATTTATTTAAATTATTATTATTATTTTTTGAGACAGAGTCTTACTGTGTCACCTTTGGTAGAGTGCTGTTGCATCACAGCTCACAGCAACCCCCAACTCTTGGCCTTAAGCTATTCTCTTGCCTCAGCCTCCCAAGTAGCTGGGACTACAGGCACTCCCACAATGCCTGGCTATTTTTTGTTGCAGTCGTCATTATTGTTTAGCTGGCCTGGGCTGGGCTTGAACCCTCAGAATCTTCTATTTAGACAGCAATAATAAACTTTTAATATGGATTGAGGTAGAATCATCAAAAAGATCATATTCAAAATTAAAGCCTGAGCTATAAATGTTTCTAGTTATGATGAACTCTATATGACCCATGATGCCCTCAGCTTACCTAATAATGGAAAAGATATGACTAGTCTATAATAATTATGCTTACTGTGTGAGGGTTTAGAATGTTGGTATATGAAATGTTTTTCATTTATTGTAAAAATTTTTACAACTTTATTAAGTATAACTTTTAATATCTTTAATAGTGGTCATTTTTGTTGTTATATTTTAAGATGATTAGTATTTAAATATCACATTGGGCCAATACCTTAGAGCACTTTAGCTTTTGATGCATTTTGAGCTTTAATACAAAATATGTTACTGGGTGTTTTTTTTTTTTCTACTTAATTTTTCTCAATGTAGCCTTTTATTATGTGAGCAAAAATCACTTGCACAAAAAAAAGGTTATTTTTAGGTTCTGTTTTGTACGTTATTCTAGCTATTATTTTTGGAAACATTTAGATTATTATATAACAGGATTTTTAGAGTAAATAAAATATAACAATACATTCTTTTTCTTTCTTTTTTTGCAGTTTTTGGCCAGGGCCGGGTTTGAACCCACCACCTCCGGTATATGGGGCCAGCACCCTACTCCTTAAGCCACAGGCACCACCCAACAATACATTCTTTTTCAATCTTGTATGTCTAATAGAAGAATCGCTTTTACAGAAGCAGTATCTTACCAGTCATTATTTTTTTAAATCAATTATCCATAGTTGTAGATGTTACGGGTTGTATTTCACTTAGCCCTCTTACAAAGGAGGTCCTATCAAATGCTCTCTGAGTGTTTGCCTTCTTTTTTCTCGTTTCTTTCTAATCTCTTTATATCTTACATTTTCTCTTTTTCTCACTGTACCAAATTGCTCTCCCAGAGACCCCATTTAAAACAAGAAAGGGTTGTCTGTGTATGTTTGGAAAGTAATGATTTCCTTTCCTATTTTTAAAGAATTCTTTTTTTTCTGCATTTGAGTTTGAAAGCATGATCAAAGCTTTTGTCCTTGCCATTTTGCTCTGGATAGCCATCTGACTAAAGTTCTTAGTTAATGAGTACACATTTCCTCACCTTGCCATCTCATTTCTCTGTTTCAGATAGGTCCATAAGAGATCTGCCACCAAGCTTATACAGAGTTCAGAGATCTTTCTGAACCTTATTTATTTAAGTTCCTAGACACCATCAAGAACTTACTGAAAGTTTTATTCTCAGAATCTTTGACAATGATTACCCTACAGTGGTTATACAAAGTAGAACCATGTGGACCTTATTTGTAAATAGTGAAATACTCTATTCATTATAAATCCTAAAACAAAATTAATGAAGTTGGCAAATACATTTCCAGTAGCATTAGTTACAGAAGTTTCAGAGTCATAAAATGTAAGGTTTTTATGAAATGTAAATAATTCTTAAGTAAAAGCCTTTTATACTTATTATCCAGTGATATTTTGTCATTTATTTGTGAATAAGCACAATTAATATCCCATCTCTAATATACACACACAAGAGACAGATCAAAATAATTCCCATTCTGCTACCAAAAGGTTGATGGTCATAAATCAGAAGTTGGAAAGGAAAAAGCCCTTAGCAGTTTTAAGACTCAGCTCAAATTCTTTATGGAATGAGGGAGGACATATTAAAAATAAATAGTTTTTCTTTATGTGACTGGGAGAATGAATCTCTCCTAAATGTGAACTTCCCATCCTTACAGAGCAGAGTCCAACCATTCCAAATAATCAGTGCAAGTAACAGTTGCCTAATTTACTTAAAAAGGTTCAAGTATAAGAGTAAATGGCTTTGCTTTAGTTCACTCTTCCTGTTGGTTGTATTTGATGTTTTGTCAAAACAATCATAATTATTTCCAGTGTTGCTTATGAAAAATCACATTTTGAAATCCTACTCTAATTAAAATAGTTGTTTCTTGTCTCAATGATTTATAGATGAAACCGGCCTGTATAAAAGCCCTTACTCGTATATTTAAAATATCTGACCAAGATAATGATGGTACCCTCAATGATGCGGAGCTCAACTTCTTTCAGGTAGCTATCTTTTATCTTGTCCATTTGCATGCCTTTGTCTTTTTGCTATAAATTTTTTTTTTTTTTTTTGAGATACTCTCACTATGTCGCCCTTGGTAGAGTGTCATGGCATCACAGCTCACAGCAACCTCAAACTCTTGGGCTTTAAGCGATTCTCTTGCCTTAGCCTCACAAGTAGCTAGGACTACAGGCGCCTGCCACAACACCCAGCTATTTTTGTTGTTGTTGTTATCATTGTTATTTAGTAGGCTCAGGCTGGGTTCAACCCCACTGGTGTGTGTGGCCAGCACCCTAACCACTGAGCTATGGGTGCTGAGCCTGCTATAAAAGATGTATTAGTGTGAACAACAAAAACAATATGTTGATAAATATGTCTCTTTCATGTAAAACTATCTTTGACATCAAGCTTGAATAGCCTTTACTTAGGGTATAAAACTCTATTACGTTTAGAAATTGCGGAGTATTTTTGATAGTTTCATTAAGGATGAGTTGAAATCTGAACCCTGAATTATTTTGTTTTTTGGGTTTCGTATAACACAGCTGCACAAAGAGTCCTATGTTTTAGAAATGGGATGGGGGAGTTAGAAAAGTTTCTTTCTAAGTATGACATGTTTTACATAAATAATACAATGTGGAGACTATACTAATGTAGAATTTGTTCTTTTGGTTGAAAATTTTTATTTAAAGTGTGGCAGATGATTGTTTTATGTTATTTGTGGTTTTAATGCTGGTTTTGCTATTTTTATGTCGTTAGAGAATTTGTTTCAACACTCCATTAGCTCCTCAAGCTTTGGAAGATGTCAAGAATGTAGTGAGAAAGCACATAAGTGATGGTGTGGCTGACAGTGGACTGACACTGAAAGGTGGGTGGATGGTGTTTTCCCTCTTTCGAATTTACTGTTTTCTAAATATGGCAGAAGGTGAAGGTCTTCGTTACATTCTTGATACTTTAAGGAAATGTTAGTATTTATGCCTGAAATCTGACTGGGATTATTTAAGAGTTGGAAGAGGCTGAACAAGGTGACTCTCTCCTGTAATGTAGCACTCTGGGAGGCAGAGGCGTGGAGGGCCGGGGCAGGGGGGTCCTTTGAGCTCAGAAGATCAAGACCAGCCTGAACAAGAGTGAGACCCCATCTCTACTAAAAGTAGAAAACTTAGATGGGCATTATGGCAGATGCCTATAGTCCTAGCTACTTGGAAGACAGGTGGATCACTTGAACCCAGGAGTTTGAGGTTCCTGTGGAGCTAGGCTGAGGCCATGGCACTCTAGCCTGGGCAACAGAGTGATACTCTGTCTTTTGAAAAAAAAAAAAAAGAAAAGAGCACAGCGCCCATAGCTCAGTGGGTAGGATGCCAGCCACATACACCACAAGGCAGGTGGGTTCAAACCCAGCCTGGGCCTGCTAAACAACAGTGATAGCTGCAACAAAAACATAGCCAGGCGTTGTGGTGGGTGCCAGCTACCTGGGAGGCTGAGGCAAAAGAATCGCTTAAGCCCAAGAGTTTGAGGTTGCTGTGAGCTGTGGCGTCATGGCACTCTGCTGAGGGCAACATAATGAGACTCTGTCTCAAATAAACAAAAAGAATTAGAAGAGATGGGCCATTATTAATAATTATCATCCTTACTATTGGTATAAATTAGGAGCAAGGGAATAGATTGGTTCTCAGGGATTCACAGGTCCATCTGCGCTAAAGAGATATCTGGGACAAATACACTAGAACCTCTGTAAGGTGACTACCCAAGGAACTATAACAAACTGATCAATATACAGAGGTGGCCAACATAAGGAGCTAGGCCTGCTATGCTGATAACATATATGTAGTACACGTCTGGTCTGTGAAAATTGGGTCAACTTAAGGAGGTAGTCAATGTGTGGAGGTGGTCAACTGTGAAAGTTCTACAGCATGTCTTAAATTCTGGGTACTTATAAGCAGCCTTTAAATTCTAGTTATTAGGAAATTTTCACTATGAGTCAAATTTACCAAGTGTAGAATGTGTCCTATATAATATATTATGGAGACACAATGAAATCAGAAATAACCAGAATTTTCCATCATAGAAATAAATTCAAAGATCTGCACAGCATTTTCTTTGGCCAGATATGGTGGCTCATGCCTGTAATCTAGTGCTCCTATAGATCTAGCACTCGGGGAACACTTGGCGCTCAGGAATTTGAGACCAGCCTGAGCAAGAGGGAGACCCCCGACTCTACTAAAAACAGAAAAAAATTGGGCAGGTGTGGTGGGATCCCCTGTAGTCCCAGCTACTGGGGAGGTTGATTCAGGAGGATTGTTTCAGCCCAAGAGTCTAAAGTTCCTGTGAGCTAGGTGGACGCCATAGCACTCTAGCCCAGTAAACAGAGCAAGACTATCTGTAAAAAAATTTTTTTCATTTGTTTCTGTCATATAACTTTATGAATGTGGGTATATTCCTTGGGGTGTAATGTTGGCCCTTTCTTCCAGAGCTCTGTTTTGCTGAGCTGGGTGTGTTTGTGATGGAGTTTTGAAATCTGCTGTTTCACTGAGATAACTCGTGAACTTCATTTTGACCTTTCTATGCAAAACTAGCATATATGTGTTCACAAATCTAGCTCTTGCCATTATGTTTTATGCTTTTCTCCCATGTGACTCTACCTTTTTTCACATCAGCTGTATTTGTTAATTTACTTTATTTTCAGGTTTTCTCTTTTTACACACACTTTTTATCCAGAGAGGGAGACACGAAACTACGTGGACTGTGCTTCGACGATTTGGTTATGATGATGATCTGGATTTGACGCCTGAATATTTATTCCCCCTGTATGTACCTTGTATTTTCTGGTTGAGTTTATTTTCCAAGTTTTAAAGTTTTATTTAGTACACAGGCTTCAGGCTACCCAGGAATCATTTGGAATTATAGCAGAGGTTTATAGCAGGTTTTCTCAACCTTCACACTGTTGACATTTTCGACCAGGTAATTCTGTGCAAACATCCATTATAGGATGTTTGGCACATCCTTAGGTGCCAGTAACAGCTCTTTCCCCAGTTGTGACTTTCAAAACTATCTCTAGAAATTGCCAAATGTCTCTCTCTCTTTTTTTTTTTTTGCAATTTTTGGCCAGGGCTGGGTTTGAACCCTTCATCTCTGGCATATGGGGCTGGCGCCCTACTCCTTTGAGCCACAGGCGCCACCCCGTCAAATGTCTCTTAAAAGCAAAATCATCCCCAGTTGACAGCCACTGATTTATAGTATGACTCAAACTTTTCCTCTTTTCATGGAGAATACAAGCACATTCTTTTTACTGAAGAAGGAGAAAAAAGATGCCAGACAAACTTGATTTTGGAATAAAGAGGTCAGAAATATACTGTTTATTGTTTTTCTCTTTCATCAGTTCTCCTCCTCCGTTAGTTTTATACATATTCTTAGTTCAGGATGAAATAAGTATTTTTCTTAAACAACTGCTCTATTTGTGGTTGTTTTCCTTTGACAATGGCATGTTTAAGTTCCGTTTATTTAAAAACGGACCTAGTGCCACCCACAAACAGGAGACGCAGGATGCCTCTTTTGTATCCTAGGGACACAGGCTTTTCGAGGATGGCAATATGCCAAGATCCAGCCTTGGAGTCTTCAGCTTTTCTTCTTCACTTTTTCAGTGGTGCGTTACCTTCAGGGTATCCTTTTTAGGATATCACCTCTACCTATCCGTGTAATGGTTCAGAAATGCTTTATTGTTTTTTTCTTCATCTTAGGGGAAGCAAAGCTCTTTCTGATTAGATTCCTAGTTCATTAATCAGTTCTAAATTGAAATTTCCCTCAACTAGGTTACTATATCTTGACTCAAATTAATTTCCCAGGTTTGTCAATAAATATATACTGAATGAATTAATTTGTCCCAGGGCCCTTTCATCTAGTTTTCTTTTCTGTCCTGTTTATGTGAATAGATGAATTCTATAAGAGATTGCTTATTGCTTTCTTAATTAAGTATGACATTTAGAAAATTACATCTCTTACGGCATTGTGGTTTACACTCATTATCTCTTTCAGTTTCTTTATGCTCTCTGCCTTTAATTTTCTACAAAATAGTCCCTATAGCCCACTTGAATCTTTCTAACCTTCTGTCCTTCACTTTGCTGCTAGATTAGTAGATGTATAAATACAAATTTGGCTGTGTCACTTCCCTTCCAGACACAGGATAAAGCCAAGATTTTTTTTTTTTTTTTGAGACAGAGCCTCAAGCTGTCCCCCTGGGTAGAGTGCCGTGGCATTACAGCTCACAGCAACCTCCGACTCCTGGGCTCAAGCGAGTCTCCTGCCTTCGCCTCCCAAGTAGCTGGGACCACAGGCACCCGCCACAACGCCCGGCTATTTTTTGGTTGCAGCCGCCATTGTTGTTTGGCGGGTCCGGGCTGGGAATTCGAACCCGCCACCTTAGGTGTACGTGGCTGGCGCCTTAGCTGGTTGAGCTATAGGCACCGAGCCAAAGCCAAGATTTTTAACATGGTATACGGGGTTATTCACGATCTGTTCTGCTCAGCTCACTCTGTGCCTTCCCTCTAGAAGTAAATATATAAAACTCTTTATAGTCCACCAAATATGTGTTGTTCCTACTTCAGAGTTTTGCCCACGCCATTTTCACTCTTTCCCTCTCTGTCTTCCCAACCTAATTAATGCCTTTCTTTCTTCGAGTTTCAATTCAAGTGATTGTGTCTCATTTTTCTTTTTTTTTTAAACTGGGCACTTATACTTCTTTAACTTTTATTTATTTTTTATTAAGTCATATACACATAGATCACGAATACATTTATGCATATGTGGGGTACAATGTGTTGATTTTTTAATACAATTTGATGTGCTTACATCAAACTAATAAATACAGCTTTCACCTCATTTACTTGATTATTATGTTAAGACATTTATATTCTACACTTGATAGATTTGACTTGAACCCTTGCAATATGCTCCATAGGTGTGGTCCCACCATTTACCTTCCCTTTGTCAAGTCTCCCCCCTCCCCTCCCTTCCCTCTCCATTTCTCTCCTTCATCATGGGCTATAGTTGTGTTCTATCTTTCATAAGAAAGTATGAGTAGATATAAGTAGGTTTCATAGAAGTACTGAGTACATTGGATACTTTTGCCTCCATTCTTGAGACACTTTACTCAGGAGGATATGTTCCAGGTCCCTCTATGTAAACATAAAAAAGGTAAAGTCTCCATATTTTTTAAGACTGCATAGTATTCCATGGTATACATATACCACAATTTATTGATCCATTCATGGGTTAGTGGGCACTGGGCTGCTTCTATGACTTGGCTATTATGAATTGAGCTGAATAATCTGGTGCAAATATCTTTTTTGCAAAGTGATTTTTGGTCTTCTGGATATACTCCTAGTAGAGGAATTGCAGGATCCAACAGCAGGTCAATTTTTAGATCCCTGAGGAACGTATTAGCTTGCATTCCCACAGGTGGCTGAGTTCTTAGGGTGTTGATGGCTTCCCGTCCTCAGGGTCCCCTTTCATGTGGGCTCCCCCACCATCCTTAGCTTATCCACTCTTAGCATATGCCTCATTCTATTGAGATTTGTTTCTGGTCTACTTTCCACTTGAATATAATTCCTTACAAGTAGAGAGCTGGTCTTGTTTTTGTCTCCATAGCAGCTAGCTTAGTGCAGTTGGTTAATGTTTATTGAACTGAATTTAAGGTGGGTCAGAAGGTCAGATTAGATAGAAATAATATCTCTTCACATCATTTCAACTCATTATAATGTTGGAATTAATATAAAGCTCATGATTATGGCTTATAATTTAAACATAGGAAGAACAAACCCATTGTAGTTTAATCAGGATTATTTGTGAAAATTTTTTTTCACTTTTTTTGTTTTTTACACTCTGGAAATAATATGAAACATTTATTTGACATATTGGACAAGAGCAGAGCTAAGTTAATCCAACTCTACTGCAGCATTAAGAAAGAAAAACATCCCTTTACTGCAGTATAAGTTTTAAATGCAACCTGCACAACAGTGGGTGCATGTTAAGTAAAACACAGCAAGACTGCTGTTGTCCTGCCAAGGACTTCCTGTCCCTATCCAGGTCCTATTGAAATATTGATGGTCCCATTAGTTTTATTGAAATAAATTATCTTTTTTTTTTTTT